ATGACCCCATGGCCAATTAGCCGTTTTGGCCGCCCCTCCCCCCACTAACTTTGCTTTTTTTTTGCAGGTTTCCGTTGGAGAGCAAAAAGGAGAAAAAAAAATATATAACCGGTACCGGCGGTGCCGGTAACGATTTTGGGGCACCGGAACCGAGACCGGATGTGGCGGTACCGGTGCCGGTTCTCGGAACCGTTAAGCCGTCCCGGTAGTCGTCACGGTGCTCGGTACCGGCGGTACCGTTTCCGGTGACGGTACCGAACCGGTACCGTGTCCAGCCCTAGTTGGAATACAAATTTAGTGAACACTTTACTTTTTTAACTTCCTCCGTGATTACTATTTTTTTCTCTCTCCTCTTAATAACTTTTGTTTGTTTATGCGATTTCATTAAATATTTGATGAAATAAAATATTTTTACCATTTTTTGTTTTGTAGAACTTTTGACATAGTTTTTAATATGTACTCCGTAATTCTTAATTTTTATCAATATACCAATTTGTAAAAATAAAATAATTTCAAAAAGTGAAATATGTTTCTACGTAAATCCTAATTTGTAATCAAAGTGGGGACAAAGTTATAATACCCCAGAGTACAAATTTAGGGTACACCTATGTAATAGGATAAAACTATTTGTACCCCAATCTTTTGTACATCATTTGTACACCGTAGGTTTGCACCAACATTTGTGTTGGTGTAAAACTAATTTTTGTTAATGCATTAATACTTTGTGTCCGTGTAAATTTTTGTTAACGCACCAACATTTGTGTCGGTGTAAGCCATCAAAATGTTTGTGTATAACTGCGATGTACAAATGAAGTATAATTTTTGGTGTAAGTGTAACATGGTCCAAGAAAAAAGGAAAATGCTAGGGGTACACCAAAAGTGTACCCCAAACATCCCCCACCCCCTCCAAAACCACACAAAAAAGCAAGTGAAGTTCAAAAAAAATTAAAAATAAAAATAAAATAAAATGAATGGTAAATAGTGAGGTGGTGTACATTTGGGGTACACCTTTGGTGTACCCCTAGCATCTCCCAAGAAAAAAAGGAGAACAATAACCGGCATAAGATTTAGGAACATCATATGACAAGTTTAATTTCTGGGCAGTCAAATCATTGTGCTGGTAAGGTAAACATTTCTCTCAAAAGCACATTACTTTGTCTACTCACCAAACAGCTTGACCAGATGGTACGTAACGATTGTGGTGCCAGAGATAGTGTGGAGTAAATTACTCTAGTTTTTTTACTTTTCATAAACTACAAATATTTCAAAAATTACTCCCTCTTAATTAAGGCAAATTATTCCATAAACTTAAATTCATACTCCCTCCGTCTCACTGTCTTTGTCCACTTTAATTTTTGGAACTGTTTATCTAAACACTTTGATTCATCAAATTTTCTCAATTTGTAAGCTTAAATATAGTCATGTGTGATCTTGTTTGATTTGCCTTAACATATAGATTATTAATATATAATTTCTATAATTTTTTAATATACAAATTACAAGATAAAATGGATTAAAGAAGTGCATTGGATGATGTGCCAAAAGGTAAGTGGACAAAGACAGTGGGACGGAGGGAGTAGGTATTATATAGACCTCAGTGCATTTATAACATAGGTGGCTTGGAGAGTGTGGAAACTAGCCAATTGCACAAGATTGCTAAAATTTTAGGTCCCCATATTTTTAAACTAATTATTAATTTTGAAGCATAAGTATTCTAAAATAATAAAATGCGGTCCAAAATATAAATTTCAGACCGGACCAATTTCATTTTTTCATTTTTTGAGGCCGGCCCTGATTTGTAATATAAAAAATAGGCCTTTTCCAAAAATAAAATATGCACATGCAAGCCCATGAAAAATGTGAAAAGTCCACATTTCAATATTAACTTTGGAATCATGTAAGAATCACTCTTCAATCAAAATGGTCTTTCCATTTCGCTTTACGAGATAAGAAAGAATATATTTTTAATTCAATTTATTTTATTATACCTGTAAAGTTAAAAAAAATAAATTTATATAGTTCCTCTGTCCCTAAATCATTTACACTTTAAGCAAAGCGGAGTAAAATTAGAGGTTTTTTTGTAATTCATTTTGTTTAAAGATTGGTATATAAATAAAAAACAAAGTTACATATTTAAAAACTATATTAAAAGTTCTACAAAACAAAAGGTGACAAGAATATTTTATTTTATTAAATAGTAATCTTTTGCTTCGAATCGTGCTTTAAAAGTCTGTATCTTTCCATCCATGTTTGTCTTCTTCTTGAAGACCCACATACACCCAATGGGTTTTATCCCTTCAGGTGCTTCAACCAAGTTCCAAACTTGATTAATGTACATAGATTCTATTTTGGATTTCATTGCTTCATGTCATTCCTCAGCTTCAGGATAGCTGATTGCCTCAAGGTTGGTTTCGAGCTCATTATTCTCAACAAGTAACACGCCACCCTCATAGGTTGAGAGAAAATCATATCGTCAAGGTTCGTTACATGTTTGAGATTATTTACGGGGTTCATGCGTGTTCATATCTTGTTGAACTACAATGACTGGTTCATCTTGTTTGTGTTTCATTTCATGTGCGATCTCATTATCATCGTTTCGGATCTCTTTGATATCTATCCTTCTCTCACTAACTCCTTTAGTGAGAAATTCATTTTCAACAAAAGCATCATTCCGAGCAACAAGCATTTTGTTGTCAGTTGAATGATAGAAACAATATCCATGTGTTTCTTTGAGATATTCGATGAAGATGCACTTGTCAGATTTGGCGTAAAGTTCGCCATTTGTCAGAAGATGCTTGACATATGCCTCACAGTCCCAAATATTGATATGGGAAGTCTCATTAATTATTACTTAATTAAATTAAGTAACTAATTAAAGTGCTAGAAATAGAATCGAATTTTTCCTTTTCTTCCCCTTGTTGTTTTTGGCCCTACCTAATAAAATATAACAATTTATTTTGTCAAATTTAATTATCATATAGTTTATATATATATATATATATATATATATATATATATATATATATATATATATATATATATAAGGATTGATTTCACTGAGATGACACCTTACGGTGAGATGACATGCTTCGGTTAGATGACGCAAAGCTCACTACTGGCCACTGCAAAGCTCACCAAAGATAATTACAAAGCTCACCAAACTGTTAGGCAAAGCTCACCATATTTTTTCAACACTTTGAATTTTTTTAAAAAAAAATTAAAGGAAGCGGTGCTGACTAGACTTTGACCATTGCCCGTTGACCATCACCGGCCGCCGCCTGCCTGCCGCCGCCGCCAACCACCATCGCCGACCACCGCCGCGCCGTCGTTGCTGACCGGTGTTATTATTTTATTTTTAATTATTTTTTTAATTTTTAAAATTAAAAAAAAGTGAGTTTTGGTGTTCAAAGTGGTGAGCTTTGCTTTATTTCCAGGTGAGCTTTATATTGGCCATTGGTGAGCTTTGCAGTGGCCACTGGTGAGCTTTGCGTCATCTCACCGTAAAGTGTCATCTCACTGGAGTCAATCCCATATATATTTATACGGAGTATATATATATATATATATATATATATATATATATATATATATATATGATACATATATATATCAGAATGGCTTTTCTAGAGAGAAGGAGGAGCAGCGGTTTTCAGGCTTTCAGTCGGCGCCGGCCATCCATTCCTTTCACAGTAATCGGAGAAGAAGCCATGCCAGATGCGACGGATTCCAAAGGAAACACAGTTCACATCGCTTTCCGCAGAGCCCCTTTCATGGACTGCGTAGATGGCCCTTCAAAGACCTCCTCTCTAAAGGCAAGTATGACAATTACGTTTTCAGTGAATCTAGATTAAGCCTCAATGGATTTGAAGAGTATTCAACATCAACTAGCCGAAACATCAGATTTAAATTCCAGACACAAAATAAGATTTTTGAGCTCTTTTATTCCTTCTACAATCACAATTTCTGCATTTCTGATTTTGGTGCTAAAAGATATCACATTTGGTTTGATTTGGACACTATTAATTGGATCCTGGGTTCTCTGCCTTTCTTTTCGAAGCTTAACTGCTGGGCAGTGTCCAAGTTTGAGGAAAATAGAACCATTAACCTTTCCATTGGTTCCATTAATAGAGGTAAATTTCTGAAAATCCGAGAGAGTAGGCGAGAGGGCAGTACCTTCCTAATTATTCCCTTTCATTCAAACATTGATGGCCCAAAAATTTTCACAAAGGCCCTCTCCTTATTTACCAAGAGAGCTACCAATCTTGAGATATGCTCAAAGGTGAGTGTGTCTGAGGAACCCAAGGAATCCCTGCACCATTCTCCCAAGGGAACTGATGCTTCATTGCTGCCTACAGTCACAGGGCAGGAGGTTAATACCAAATGCAGTGGAGATGTCACAAGTTCAAAGGGTTCTGTTGGTGATCTCACCCCAGCCGAACCTAATAAGCAATTAGTTATTTACCAAACTAAAGCAGCTCCTGGCTTCACCCTCTCCACCAGTCAGTCCGAAGAGTTTCCACCTCTACCACGGAAAATACTTAGTCCTTCTGCTCCCGCCTTCGTGCCTGCTATATACTCCTATGCTGCTCTTTTCACTCAGGAAGAAGGATCGGAAGCTATAGCAGATTTGGAAGATGACCCATTTTCAAATCTCCATGGGCAAAGTTTGATACTATCCCTCAACGCAGTGGAAGATCACGCAAAGGACAGGGATGGACCCATTCTATATACCCACTCTGATGGGGAGGATTTTGTGTTCATAGATACAAAGCTCAAACCTCTGCAAATTGACCTCTCAAGATGCTCCAAACACCCCCTCCATCTCCGTAAGGAACTAAAGGGTAGAAGGACATACTCACCGTCACAAATTGCTACAAGGAGTAAAGCTAAAATCCTTGAGCAAGGAAGGAAAGTTAATCCTATCGGCTGGGTCGAAGAAGAAGACTTGTTAGGTCCCCAAGAATCACATGAAGATGAGGTTATCAATTTTTTCAAACTTTGTTGTCCTCACAAGAAAGAAGATCCTAAACCTCTTACCAAACCCCTAACCAAAACGCAAAAAAAGAAATTGAAGAAGAAGAAAAAGCAGTCACAATTTTCTGCAAATGGTTTTGAGGAAGATATAGAATATGCTTATTGATTATCTCTTCATACTGTTTTTTCCGTTAGCTGCCTTCTTTTAGTTACTGCCTTAATTTCAAAGTCAGTGAGTTGGAGTTGAAGATCAGAGCACCTGTTTTTCATCTCTCAACACTGCCATATCCCTTATCTAAGGGTATTCGGCTAGTCTCTGGGGAGCTAACACAGTTGTGTTAGGAATCCACTTCTGTTTGGATGGAGGTACAAAGTACAACAAAAGAGATGGGGCAAAATGCACATGTTGATGGAAGATAATTGAGAACAAGGGACTTGTGGAATTGTACTACGCTGTTTGGAGCTTTTGCCTGGTCTTTCACTAAACTGCACAGATTACACACTCCTTGGTGTGGAAATTATAACAAGCCATATAATTGGAGCCCCTTTGGAATTTTGGAAGTTTCTTTTTGTCTAGTTTATTTAGCTTATGGTACCTGTTTCTATTTCCTTACCTACATTTACTCTGGCCGAAGTGTAGGGCAACTCGACACCCCACTTGTACTTTTCTTTCTTCTTCTCTATTATTAATAAATTTCCTTAAACAAACAAATATATATATATATATATATATATATATATATATGTAACACCCCGAAATCTGGCCCAAAAGAATTAATTAAATTGTTAGAGCAATTGATTACGAATTGGGCCTAAAAAGGGGTTAAAATTATAATTTGGATTCTAAGCCCAACTTTTATGTCATCTCGTAGGAAATATTTTTGTGATCGCGTCGGTTCAGACGGCTTGCGAATCGGAGTTTTGGAGCTCATGTTTTGACCATTTAATCAGGTATTTTGGGTCCGAAGCCCAATCCTTTTAGGAATGGGATCATTAAATAAAACCTAAACCTATCTTCTTCCGTTCGGATCTGAGAACCGCACATCGTCACTTTCTTCTTCTTCATTTCCGATCGCTGCCTGAGCCAGTTGCCCTTCCCCAGCCAATCGCCGCTGCTTCTCCTTCGCCAGAGGTCCGCCGTCAGCATCAGCGCCGCCGACGACGGTTCACCTCGTCGTGTTGCCGTTCGTCGCCTGCACTGCCAGCGTCGGTCGTCCACCGCCGTCGGGTTGCAGCGCCACCACGCCGAACGCTGGACGTCGCCTCCACTACCGGCGTCTTCCCTCGCCGTCGAGTTGCAGCGCCGCCAGTCGCTGCTCATCGCCGTCGAGTTGCAGCGCCGCCACTGTACGCCGTCGAGTTGCCGCTCCGCCACTGTACGCCGGCGTCCGCCACCGTCGCCGCATCCAGCTGCTGCCCCGGATTGATACCGCCGGCAGATTAATCTCCACGCCAGATTGATTGGTCGATTTCGTGTTTTGGCTCAATTTGACCCGTTGTTCGTTTGATTTCGTTGATTTGTTTTCCGTTCGAGCTATCGATTCGATTTCTGCGTAATCCAGGTTCGTACTATGAAGTTAATAGCGTTTAGAATAGATTTAATGGTTCGGATCGTTATATATGTTTATGCTATAATTTGGCTAGATTTGGTTAATTGAATTAAATTGATTATTTGAATTGAATTGTTGAGGATTGTGAATTGACTGAACAGGTTTGACTTTGACTTGGGTTAGGTCCTGTTTGACGTGGGCTTTGACTGGATATTCTGTTGACGTAGGTTTGACCTAATGGTTAAATCCAAGACTTTATTGAATTAATTAAGTTAATTAATTAATTCTAATCAGTAATTAGGATCAATTGGTTTATTATGTCGAACATAGAAACTGGCCCTTGCTCGGGCGGCTGCAGGGCCTGGTCAGTGAGGTTAAGACGTGCGCACGAGGGTCTGTGATCTTGGGTTTGAGGCCATCGTCCGAGGGATCCTACCTCCACCGAATTGAGGCTATCTTCGGTATTACGGATTGAGGCTATCTCCGTCATAGGCAATAAATGTTAAGTGGTTTGACTTTCGTGAAAGTCTAAATTGGGTTGACCGGTGGTCAAAGAGTTAATGAGGAACCCTTAACACCTAAATCGTTTTGAAAAGAAAGAAAATTGTTAGAATAAGTGCCCTTCACTAGAGGGGGGATGAATAGTGAGGCACAAGAATGTTTATAAATTTTCGCGGAATAAAAATCGCAGGGATAAAGTAAAGAGCGGAATAAAAAGGAGTAAAGGGAGCACACCAAGATTTACCCTGGTTCACCACAACTTGTGGCTAATCCAGCCTCCCGAGAGACTCTCTCGAGATACACTTCTTCCGTTAAGCTTACGGGTTCTTAACAAACCGTTACAACCTGAGAACTCGAGTCCCACGAGCCTCAATACACTTGCTCGGAGATACCGCACTCCAAGACTTCAACCCGAAGGAAAATACCTTTCCTTCGTACAACCAAGGGAAACAAGCTTCCCTAAACGTGTTTACAACACTAAGAACACTCAAGAACAAGACTCTCTTTAAGAGTAGATGTTGAGTAAACTATATACGCTCAAGAACAACTCAAACTTCACAAATTGGCTCTAGAAAGCTATGGAAAATAATGTTGTTTGGATGCAATGATAATATGAATAAAGTGAAGTGAATTTTTTGAGAAAAGCAGACCCAACACCCCTTTTTATAGTGCCAAAATAGGCTCCAACGGACCAATGCATTAAAGGGGTCATTGGCTTGATTTAAGGGATTGAATAAATTTGGGATCTGCAGAATATTGGCTTCCCATCGATGTTTGGAACTTACCCATCGCTGGTAAGCCAATTTTCCTTCTGTTTTGAAGCCAACGGTTACCTACCCATCGATGGGTAAATGCTTCC